GCAGTAGTCAGTGGCGTAGCTAGGATTCAAAACTACCCGGATCTATTTAGTTAACGGCGAGCATTGAACGACGTCGTTTTTGCTCCTAATTATTTGAGTTTATTTTCTAAATTTTGTTAATTAACATTGACTATTATTGTATTTTGTCCATTTTACCAAAATGAACATGTATAAATTTCAAGTATAAAAAATGATAGATCGATTTTTTTTAATAAGATTTTCAAATGTTATGTATATTGTTATCCTTATTTAACATGTATATTCAGCAACAGAAGAGGAGAACAAAACTTAAACTCTACCTTTGAATTTTTTGTTTTCATAAACTAGGTAAAAAAATAAGCATATCTTCGTGATACAAACAAAATATATTATTTAACCATTCATATAAATTTTAATATATTATATCACATTATTCTATATCAGAGCAACCATTAAACAATAAAGAATAAAATTTAAGATTATTTTATTTCTTACTCATTTATACCATCAAATTTTAATATTCCCTCTATTAAAGAAAATTTTCAAAACAAAATGCTATCAATTGCTCGCAAATATGGAACATCCAATTCTGCCTTCACCTCACCAGAAGTTTTAAGTTTTAACCATCCAATTACAAATACTATCTATATACACACATGTACTAGTATATAAATTCGACATTTAAATTCTTTTGGGACATTGCCCACATGGTCGGTGAAATTCATCAATAAATATTCACATTACCACAATTCAAAGTCTATTCACTTTCTAGTAATTGTCATTAATAAAAATTAATTTAAAAATTAATGTTAAAGTTAAATTTTAATATAGATTGAACTAAATAAAAAATTCATTAATTAATATATAATTATAGTGTTCCTGATTTTTTAAGCCTGGGCTATAGCCCTAGTCAATTTATATGTGGCTACGTCCAACATGCCCAACATGCGCCAGTTCCTTCGTAAGTTGCATTACCGACAGTCGGACGAATCGATTCCGTCATATTTTTTTTTATGATACTCGTGCTATGAAATTAAATAGTTTTGTTTATGGTGTTATTTTATAACATGACATTTCAGTTTGGAAAATGCATTTATGTTAGAAAAAATTATAATTATCACATTGTAAGCGTACTTTAACTATACTAGTATTCTGTGCACAAATATAAATGGAAATAAAATTTTATATGTTATTCCCCCTATATATTAATTCAGAACGTGCTGAGCCTAAGTGCCAGATTCGCATGTTTTGAGATTCTATGTGGTAAAATTACATGCTTCGTTATTAGGCTTGGTAGATTTTAATTTATTTTCGATCCAAAAATAAATAGGTCTGAATTATCCATAATTATGTTGATTATTTATGATAATGTTACATGTATTAATTGCACTTTAATATAATTTCTTATTATAACCATTGAATTGTAAATGTTTTTTAAAAGTTAATAACTTTTGTATTTTTTATCAGTTTTATATATATAATATATCAAATTAATCATCTATTGATGAACTTCGATTTAATATACATATTGTATGTATAAAAAGAATAAATTATATTTATCTTTATAACAATAATAAATTATTTTTTAATATTAATTAGTAAATAAAAATATTTATTAATTAATATATTTATATTTCAAGTAGTTATATCATATAAATTATAAAAATTACTATAATATAACACATGTAAGTCACNTTGTGTTTTATGTAAAAATTAAGAATCATAAATTAGATAATGAGCATATCACATTTATAAATTTTAGCATTACTAAAATGACGATATAAATATAAACTATTTAACTTACATATTAATCTTTAAATTTATACAATTTTGGTTGATTATGACAATTAATTGCATAAAAAATATTGAAATTATTATATAGTAATTGTGTAAAACTCTAAAGGGTTTGGTTATGCCATAAAAAATAATTAACTAATTTTAATAAAAGAACTTGCTTAATGAGGTGAAAAAAAAAATTTAAATATATAGTTTGAAAAAAGCGTTAGATTAGAATAACGGGTAAGACTACAGTCCCGTTACAGAATCATTTCGTTGGAACTTTTAACCGTTAGATGCACTGCTATACTAATCTACATGTGCATCTAACGGTTAAAAATCTCAACGGAATAATTTCGTAATGGGACTGTAGTATTTTTTCAATAAATATAATGTATATTTGTTTTTTATGTTTTTATTTTTTTAACAATAAAAAACATAAATAAAAAATATGTTTTTTATGTTTTTATTTTTTTAACAATAAAAAACATAAATATAATGCACTGCTATACTAATCTACAGTACAAGAAAATATGTTTTTTATGTTTTTATTTTTTTAACAATGACACATCCTTTTTACCAAAAAAAATAAAAATAAAAAAATAAATAAAAAAAAAACAAAATTTGAGAGATCCTACGCTACACCACGCTATTCCGATTGTTACTCACCTTTTACAAATCTAATTTGGTTTGATCCAATCCTTTGTGATATTAATTCCAGCTTTTGATTCGAAAATGTGAAACGAATTGATGGAAAATTGATCTTTTAACAAAAAAAAGCCCAAAAATCAGACGAAAAACCGAATACAAACTCCATATGCTTCCATCATTTCGATGTAGCGGTTTCATGTGTTACGAATTGCAAGAGTTTGAAAATCTTAATTTAGTGTGGTGACGCCGTTCCAAAAAACTAAAAAATAATGATATATTTAATAATATATAATTAACACTTTGTTTTATTCTAATACATCTGTTTTATGTTCTCACCAATCATCCAAACATCTAAATCAAAATGCTTTCATTAATAATATTAGACCCTACATCGCACGGGTACCATACTAGTTACTTAATATGACTTTGTGATTAATTAGTAGTAGCTAATAAATAAAAAATATAATCACTAAACTAATGCAAAATGTAACGGAGAATGACGAAAAACAAAAATATTTGTCATAATGTTTTTTTTTGCCAAAATTATATTATTATAGATATGTATATATCCGTTCATGGTCATACTTTGTTTCTCAGGCCAAATTTTATTTTTAGTCCACTATATTGCCATTTTTCAAAAAAAATCCATCATATAGGATGTCATCAATAATAATCCACCAAGTTGTCACTTTAATCCAAACTCGTACAATATCCAAGATAGTGTACTAAAAATGGCGATCACTTTTAGTACACTATCTTGATTTTTGTATGAATTTTGATGAAAGTGACAACTTAGTGGACCATTCTTGATAAGTCACCTATATGATGGATCTTTTTTGAAAAATGACCAACATAGTGTACCATTTTTTAAATTTTGCCCTGCTTGTCACCACATTATACTATGTTTCTGTAAATGTTGTCTGTTTTCTTTAATAGTTCTTTATTTTTCGGTTACAATTCTACTTGTGTTTTTTTCATTTTTGTTCTCATTTAACAAGAGTTAAAAGTTCATTATTTTAAAATGTAACTTGTACTGATTATTTCAGCTAAAAGCACATTAATCACTATTTAATGCATAAAAAGTTCGATTCTTGGACAGAAAAGATATGTGAATATTTATGGCAAACATAATTTATCCATCATTCTTTTGTGAGCTTTTTTATTTTTTATTTTTTTTCTTCTTCTGTATCGTTTCAATTTTATCAAATGTCCCCGAAGGGACTTTTGTGAGCCCACCTACTTTGAAAATATTCTATCAAATATCATAACTTTATTTATACTATTTTTGAAAATATGATGTAAATACAAATATATATATATATATATATATATATATGTTTGTGAAAATTATATGGCGTTAGCAAAATAACTACCCCTTTTTAGAACATGCAGTAGTTCAAGTCCAACATGTCATATAGTGATGCGCAAGTTCCTTACCGATACCGTCATTTTTTATATATTTTTTTTTTAAATATGATACACATGCTATGAAATTAAATAATTTTGTTTATGGTGTGTTTTTATAACATGACATTTCAATTTGAAAAATGCATTTGCCTTAGAAAAAATTATAATTATCTCATTGTAAGTGTCTTTAACTACAATACTACAGTAACCACCTGAATAAAACGTTTAATAATATTAGCTGATAAGTTGACTGAAATAAAAATTTCAACAATTTTATTTGAAAAGCTACCCAAAAAAAACTTATGAGATAAACTCGAGCATTTTAAAAACTCGTTCTACCAACAAAACTTATTTAAATACAAGAAATTTATAATAACACCGACAACAAAATCAAAGAAAGCGTATTATGNTACGCTACACGACGCTATTCCGATTGTTGCTCACCTTTTACAAATGTAATTTGGTTTGATCCAATGCGTTAGTGATATTAATTCCAGTTTTTTGACTCGAAAATGTGAACCGAATTGATGGAAAATTGAACTTTTAACAAAAAAAAGCCCAAAAATCATGCCGAAAACCGAATATAAACTCCATCTGCTTCCATCCTTTCGATGTTTTGGGTCTGAAAAAACATTTTATATTTCCCACACAAAATACATATACCTTCCAAAGTAATTTATTTATCTGTGTCTAATTTAAAATTGTGTTTGGTAAGCGCTCAAATTTTTATTCTAACAGGGTTAGCAAATTTTACAAAAACACTTTCATTATATCACATCATTTTTCAAATCCATAAATTATCCATAAAAATTACTCATAAACTACTATCAACTAATTTATCAAATATCACCTACTAGATAAAAATTCTATGAAGTCATCTTCCACTTAATGTATTGACACCTATTCAAATTGTATTTATTGTAAGACACGTGTCAATGCACTATTTGGTGAATAAATGTGGATGATTCCCATATTAGCAAAAAAAGTAAAAATAAACACTGATGCAAATGCACAGTGTGTGAAAGAGGGAAAGTCACACGCGTTTAATTTCCTGTGGTGACTTCCCATGTCAGATATCTGCAACCTCACCTCCCCACCATTTAAAGCGCACCCCCAAACAAAACCAACACACACACACACACACACATAAAACATAACATAATTAAACCCCCACCAAACTCAAACCCATGGCCCCGCCTCCGATTCTCTCTCCCCTGCTCCTCATCTTCCTCCTCCACACCGCCGCCGGCCGATTCGACCTCCTCCTCCCTAACATCGGCATCTCCGCGATGCACATGCAGCTCCTCCACACCGACCGCGTCATCATCTTCGACCGCACCGACTTCGGCCCCTCCAACATCTCCCTCCCCGCCGGCCGCTGCCGCTCCGACCCCAACGACACCGCCCTCGCCCGTGACTGCACCGCCCACTCCGTCGAGTACGACGTCCTCCTCAACTCCGTCCGCCCCCTCACCCTCCTCACCGACACCTGGTGCTCCTCCGGCGGCCTCTCCCCCTCCGGCCTCCTCGTCCAGACCGGCGGCTTCAACGACGGCGACCACGCCGTCCGCACCTACGACCCCACCTGCACCACCCCCGCCACAAATCCCCCCAATTGCGACTGGGTCGAGACCAACCCAGGCCTCACCAATCGCAGATGGTACTCCACCAATCACGTCCTGCCAGATGGCACCCACGTCATCGTCGGCGGCCGCCGCCAATTCAACTACGAATTCTACCCCAAAACGACGTCGTCGTCCCGTTCCTACAACCTCCCGTTCCTCGTCCAGACCAACGACCCCAAAATCGAGAACAATCTCTACCCCTTCGTCTTCCTCCACACCGACGGCAATCTCTTCATCTTCGCCAACAGTCGCTCGATTTTACTCGACTACGTACATAACTCCGTGGTCCGAACCTACCCACCTGTCCCCGGAGGGGACCCACGTAACTACCCGAGCACAGGCTCTGCAGTTTTACTCCCATTCCAAGTCGGGTCCGGAGCCGAGGTTCTGGTGTGCGGCGGTGCACCAAAGGGATCGTACGCCAGCAGCGCTTACAATAAGAATTTCACACGTGCCCTCAACACGTGCGGAAGAATCCGGATAGACGACCCAGACCCTAAATGGGCCATGGAGACAATGCCCGGCCCACGTGTCATGGGTGATATGGTACTTCTCCCGAATGGGGAAGTCTTGATTATAAACGGGGCCGGGTCGGGTACGGCGGGCTGGGAATTGGGTCGCGACCCGGTTCTCGCGCCCGTTATTTACCGACCCGGGAATTCACTTGGGTCGAGATTCGAGGTACAAGCGGCCTCGAGCTCCGTGCCGAGAATGTACCACTCGAGCGCGGTTTTGCTCCGCGACGGGCGGGTCTTGGTCGGCGGAAGCAACCCGCATATTTATTACAATTTTACCGGGGTTTTGTATCCGACGGATCTGAGTCTGGAAGCGTTTTCGCCGTACTATTTGGGTTCGAGCGTGCGCCCGCGGATTGTTTTGCCCGTTTCGCAGACCAGAGTTGGGTATGGAAAGTGGGTCGGGATCCGTTTTACGGTCGATTCGGGTCGGGTTGATTTGGGTAAGGTGATGGTTACGATGGTTTATCCGCCGTTTACTACGCACTCGTTCTCGATGAATCAGAGGCTATTGGTGTTGAGTGGTGGGAATGTGACGGTGAATGGGAATAATGGGTATGATGTTCGGGTCGTGATGCCGGGTTCGGGTAATGTTGCCCCGCCTGGTTACTATCTTCTATTTGTGGTTCATAAAGAGGTTCCTAGTGAGGGTATTTGGGTCCAAATAAAGTGAAGAATATGGGTGTATAGATATATATTGTTGCATTCATTTATTTGTATATATATTATATATATCAGAGTCATTCATGTGAGGATAGTTAATTTTTTTATTGACTTTAAGGATGACGACATATGTTCATTTTATCTTATTATAGCTGTGCTTTGCAAGTGTAAATGAAAGAGACAACTGCCAGTTCTCCTCAAGGAGCTGTAACGATTCTTTTTCATACCCATCAAGAAGTGAAAATATGATGCTTTACTTTTCGTTTTATTGCATAATCTCCATTGATTTACATTTATTAGCGTTAAAAATGACGATTTGTAACGGAAAATATGATTTGGACTAATATGAGAATTGGACACAAAGTCGCATAATAAATTTAAGATTTTGGCGACCATGCGAGTGACTAGCCATATCATAATATTGCAAATAATAAGAAGACAAAAACAAAAATACAAGTATAAAATGGCAATCCAACCTCATACACATGAGTTTAAAAATTTACAACTTTCGATCTTGTCAGGGAATTTACAGAATTTCATTTTCACTACAGTCACATTTCACGTGAGTTTCATACATTTTGGTTCTTATCACTATCTACCATTTGGCATGTGAGTATACCGTCAATCAGTTGGTACTGGTCCTCTTCCAAAAAAATAAAAAATAATAATAATAAAAACAAAAGTATAACAATTTATAGTTATATATAATTATAAATTAAAAATAACATGAAAGGGCCAACATGGGCCCATTTCCAAATACAAACTCTTATTTATCATTCTCAATAAAATAGCGAAAAGTGACTTCATGTTATTTTTTCTTTCAATATTGAAATTTAACATCTATGAAACTGTCTATTGTAAATTCATCCACAGTGTCATTCGTTTCAAAATTTGAAATGCTTGAATAACATGGAAGATTTCACACTACTAAAATCACCATGTTTTTTTATCGTTGGATTAACCTACAGACACATACTAACGTATGTTGATCTAATAGTGAGAAACGTGATATTGCAAATAGCCTAAATGACAATGTGGTGAAAGAGCCATAATATCACTACCAGTTCTCTTTTTGAGATTTCCTTTCTCTTTCTAGATATGTCGTTCCACCTGTTGGATAGTTTACTAGGGTTCTTCTTTTCGTTCGTCAATTTTCTTTCGTTCCTGTTAATGTTTTCTAGGGTTCCTCTTTCTTCGTTCGCCAATTTTCTTTTGTTTCTGTTAGTTTAAACTTTCTTCATTAGGGTTTCAGCTATGTATCTACCCCTTTCTTCTTAGGTTAGGCTTTTCTTCCTTTTTTCTTCTTTTTCCTTTTCGTATTCTCTTTCTGCCTTGTCAAGCCAGGGCTATTTTGGTGGGGGTTTAGGGATACTTGGAATCGGGGATTCAGTTGAGTTCAGATGGAGCAGGAAATATCATATCGAATGCTCAAAATAAAACTCTCGGATAAGGAGGCAGAAGAAATAGAATTGTCAGACACATACATTGCCTTGGGGCTTCGAGAATGTCAGTTGAGTCTAATAGGCAAAAGCTTCGGGGAAAAGAGAATCAATTTCAACGGCATGAAGGTGACCTTAGATGGTATTTGGGTCACCAAAGATCCCTTCTCGATCAGGAATCTTGGGGGAAGCAAATTTCAATTTATTTTCCATTCTGAAGAAGACAAAGAGAAGATCCTGAAGGGCAACACATGGTCGTTCAACGGTAAATATCTTCTGCTGAAAAATTGGGACCCGAAGAAACTTGAATTTGGGGAGGAAGAAGAAGTAATTTGAATTTGGGTTCAGATAATCAATCTCCCTCTACATTGGATATCAGCTGACACATGGCTAAAGATCGGGAAAAAATTGGGAAAAGTCATCGATGTGTTGTTGCCAGGGGCTGGAAGCTCCAATGGTCGAATATTGAAGGTGTTTGTGGGCCTGAAACTCTCAGAGTCAATACTCAGAGGAACCATTATCAAACAAGGAAGTGAAAACCGCTGGCTAGACTTCAGGTATGAGAATATTCAAGGTTTTTACTATTACTGTGGTAAAATTGGGCACTCTGATAGGAATTGCTTATTAAAACATGAAGATGTGCTTAATAATGTGCTCAACCATGGCCAATTTGGAGAGTGGTTAAGAGCTAGTTATACTAACTTGTCTGGGGTTAGAAATTCTTGTACTAGCTAGTGACTAAGGGGAAGGTAGGTCTCCTAATATCAGTTTAGTTAAGAGTATTGTTGGTGAAAAAATTTCAGGAGAGGAGGGTCTAGGAGGTAAGGTTTGCAAAACTAGTAATCCTTTGGCTGTGATAGAGGGGAAAGGTAGTGAGATCAATGCAGTGCCGGTTGAAAACTTTGCTGAGGTTGGTCCTTTAGGTGAGAAAGAACAGGTTGATCCTAAGTCTGCTTACTCTCAAATGGTGGAGGTCAACATATTGCCCTCAACTAGTGGTAGCAAGATTGTCAATAGAAAAAAAAAAAACTCTACACTAGAAAGCCTAAATCAAGTAATCTGGTGATTTCGGAAGCAATGGTGGTTGATTCTGCAATTCAAGGGAATTCAAAAGTGGAGGTTTCTATTACTAACAAAAAAAGAGGGTTAGAGGGGTTAGAAACCAATGTGCCTGTTCTTAACTTAGGTTCTGAAAGAAAAAAAAGTGAAGATGTCTGACAACTTATTGTCTGAAAAGCTAAACTTGACTCAGGTGGAGGAAACTGGTCCCCCAAACTTAAATGAAGGATTTGGTGTGGATTGTAGAGGTTTGGGAGGACCCTCTACAGTTTTTCGGTTTAAAAAGGCTGTCGAGCTCATCTCCCAGTTTTTGCTTGTCTTTTAGAAATTAAGGAAAAACCCAAATTTGTTTCTTTTGTTTGTAAAAAGCTTAGAATTGATAATAGATGGTATTATGAGAGGCCTGTGGGTTCTAGAGGGGGACATGTTAGTGTCTTGGTCCTCTAATGTTATTATTTTGAAGGTTATTAGCCTTGGTTTTTGCATTTAAATCCAATTCTGCCAGTAGGAGAGTGGTCCAAAGCTTTAGGTTGTTTTTGTCTATGCTAGTACTGATTCCTCAATTAGGAATGCCTAGTGGGGCGCCCTATTAAGGCACAATATTAGTTGGGGTGATCATTGGTGTTTGGGTGGTGACTTCAATGACATTCTCTCTAATGATGAGAAGAATGGTGGGCTTGTGAGAGAGAAGGGCAGTTTTTCTAGTTTTAAATCTTTTGGCATGGGCTTAGGGGTAGTAGAAACTGAAGTGGTAGGTCATCCTTTTACTTGATCTAGCAATAGGAGGGGGAGTGAGTTTATTGAAGAAAGGTTAGACAGATTCATGCTTTGTCCTACCTGGACCTTGACCTACCATAATTGTCAGGTTGAGCACATTCATAACATTTCTTCTGACCACAACATGCTAATTCTGAATAATCATAGCCATTCTGAAGTTAACAAAAAAAGGTTAATATTTGATAAAAGACAGGTGAAGCTAACTGGTTTCTCTGATGTAGTTAAAGCTGCTTGGGATCACTACTACAATTTATTATGATAGAGTGAGAAATGTTAGGAAAGCCTTACTTGGGTGGAAAGCGAATTTGAAAACCAACTCTTTAAAAAAGATTGAGAGATGTAAGAAGAGCCTCAAAATGCTAGCAACTCAAGGGGGTAATAGAGACTCAGCTAAGTGGTAAAACCTTAAATCTAATCTATTATAAGAATGAAGAATTATTTTGGAGCCAAAAAGCTAGGGTTCAGTGGCTTATTGAGGGTGACAAAAACCCAAAGTTTTTCTAGGCTCCTGTGAAGGATAGAAGAAAATGTAACTCTTTGGATAATCTTGTAAGAACTGATGGCTCCAAATGTGGCTCTAAGCAAGAAACTCTAAATGAGATGATGTCCTTCTTTGAAAAACTGTTTAAATCTTCTAATCCTCTTAAGGAACATTGTAGCCTTTTTGGGATTCCTGCTTATATTTCTTCTTAGATGAACTTGAATTTGACTAAAGAGGTGGCTATAGAATAAATTAAGACTACTCTTATGGGTATGGATCAGAACAATGCCCCTGGTCTTGATGGGCTTACTACTAGTTTTTTTCAGTCTTCTCGGTCTATTATTCAACATCATCTTGTGCTTGCTACTCACATTTTTTTCTCTTCTAGTCAAATTCCCAATGGGCTTAACTATACTGTTATCTCTTTAATTCTCAAAAAGATTAATCCTACTTCTATATTTGATTTCAGACCTAAATGTCTTTGCAATGTGATTTATAAATTGATTTCCAAAATCATTGCCAATAGACTGAAAGGTATTTTGCCTGTTTGCATCTCTGCCTCCCAATTTGCCTTTGTCCCTGGGAGGAAAATTCTTCACAATGTGATTGTGGCTAATGAGTGCATTCATTACCTGCTGTAAAAGAAAGGGAAAGAAAGTTTCATGGCAATAAAGCTAGATATGGCCAAAGACTTTGATAAGGTAGAATGGTCTTTTGTTGTTAGAATTCTTAGAAAAATGGATTTCTGCTCCACTTTCATTTCCTGGATTTGTGCTTGTATGTGCTCTTCAACTTTCTCTTTTAATATCAATGGTGATTGTTTGGGCTTGCTTAAACCTTCTAGAGGTTTGAGACAGGGAGACCTTTTGTCTTCCTATTTCTTCATATTAGTATCTGAAGCATTTTTCAATTTGATAGCTAAAAGCAAGATTGTTTTCTAATTTCAGACGGATCAAAATTGGGAAATATTCTCCTTGTGTTTCCCATCTTTTTTTGCAGATGACACCATTTTGTTTTGTAAAGCCAACCTGTCTCATGCTAATATGGTGTTAAAATTCATATCTGATTATGGTCATGACCCTGGTCAACTAGTTAACATTGATAAATCCTCAATTTTTTTCCAACAATGCCTCTGAGGACTCTATCACTGATATCTGCAATGTGTTTACTGGCATCTCTTCTGTTTCATCCTCAAAGTATCCTGGCTTCCTTTAGGCATTGGCAGGAAAAAAAAAAGAGGTTTTTTCTTTTGTGAGTGAGTGTGTTTGCTCTAGACTGAGTAGCTGGAAAAACAAATATTTGAGTGAGGCAGGGAGAGAAGTCCTTATTAAATATGTTCTTTCTACTCTTCCTACTTATGTCTTCTCTTGTTTCAGAGTGCTTGTGAGTATCATTGACAAAATTTGCAGAGATATTGCCAATTTTTGGTGGGGTGTGAATGATTCTGGGGGAAAAGAGTTCACTTGGCTAGTTGGAATAGATTAGAGAAGGATAAAAAGGTTGGGGGGATGGGTTTCAAAGACTTAAGAGCCTTCAATGAGGCTTTACTTGTAAAACAACTTTGGAGGCTCATCACTAAAGCCAATCTGGTTGTTCTGTTGTTCTTGTGCGAGGTATTTCGCTTGAGGAGCTCCGATGGATCTGTATGACTGTTCTTATGCCAGAAGCTCGTCTCGTGGATATCCCGACAATTACGAAGAGGAGATGTACTCGTATGGAGAGCCGCCTCATTCGTATCTGAGCTATTCAAATCTTTATTACTATGACAGATACTCTACATCCCAAGGGTATGGCCCGAGCCATTCTTACCAGACATCTCGAGGCGAATATGGTGATTACATTCCTGGTCATAACGAGACTCCTTATTACAATTCTTCATCTTCGGACTCCTATCCTTCGCCTTCCAATTATTGTGATGCAACACCTCCACCCGAGCCGACTCGAGAAGCTTCTCCAAGCCGTTTAGACAAGATTATCGAGAAACTAGAAAAGTGCAATCAATCCCTTCGCGTTTCAATGGCTTCCATATCCGAAAATGAAGAAACCCAATCCTATGCTCCACCCTCTCCATTATATGAGCACCAATCAGTTGGCCAACCTTGTACATCGAGGACCGAAGCTTCATTTCTGACATGTGTTGAGCCTACCGAATATCACCGAGAGGTTTTGACGAGCACTCAAAAGTCACTTGCGAGCCTCATGTTGATCATAGAGGAGTATTTGTTGGGATCTGTGATGATCTCGTTATGTACAAGTCACGAATTCAATAACAAACGTAAACCTATACGCAGCGGATCTAAAGGTTTGACGTAGAGAAGTTACGGCTTAAAATTTATGTAGATCTGGTTGACCACGAATGGTTGATCGCAAATGATTGACCACAATTCACGTCTTGGGTTGCACGAACAAGATCAGATCAAAACCGGATCAAACGGGTGCAAACAGATGAAGACAAACTTTGCAGCTTGGGAGCTTCCGGCGGCGCGTAAGGGTGCGTGCGGCTTCGGAATCCGGCGATCCCAGCGTCGATGGAAAGCTCTCGTCGATACGGTCGTCGGGGTATGCTTTGCGTCTCAATCGGACCTCCAGTTCGTTCTGTAGGATAAAATATATTTCGTCTCGGTTTACCTACAGATCTTCTACTGTATTACTCAATACACCTTTCTTCAACTTGTACCAGTGGAGCAACAAGAAGAAGATAAAGCTCGAATGAGATCTAGAGAGAGAGTGAGATGGGCGGCGTGTTTGTCTCGTGAATATGAGATGAGTTCTCTTCTCATGAACTTAATGATGTATATATAGAGCTACAATAGGGACCTTAGGAGATTAGAAAAAGAGCTCCTTAATTAATTAGACTAACAGTGGGCGAAGCTCACTCCTCTAATTAATTAAATAATATTAATGGGCCACCAACATTATATTATTACACTCCTTTTTCCTAGCCCAAATTACATTTGAGACTCCAATAATAATTACTCGATTGACCTCCCCACGTTTAAGATATAATGTCCATTAATTAATTCGATTACTGACAATTAAGAATTAATTAATTTATTATTATTTCACCGAAGCTTGTGCTCGTTCATCACATTCTTATTATGCCGAAACTTAATCCACCTGCAGGGTTTAGCATAACAATCCTTCATGAACTCACTCTGGGGACATCATCAAACTAACGTACATGGTGACCGTAAATATCCTAACATCACATCCTATATATAACAATATTATCCAAAACAGTAAGAATATTGATCCAGTGAACTGAACCTCATCCAAGTGAATCAAAGTAATATATACTATATATATCTGCCTGTTTAATATCTTACGGGTTAAGAGAACGCAGTAATTAACCGAGGCCTAGTTCATTTACGACGATCAGTATAAAATGAACTTCTCCTCTCTGGGATCCTGTTCAATACATAAATGTACTAGTGCCACTAATCAGTCAAGACAAACTGTACAGTTGACACTACAACCGTTCGGATGGGGTGTTCATGTCCATCTAAGTTGTGAATAATCATTTTTGTTCGCAAGTAACTAATAGAGTGATCTTCGGTTCGCCCGATGACGATCCACCCTATCTAAGTGTAGAACAACAGAACGTAGAACTTGTTTAATCTAACACGATTCTCATTCATAAAGGGAAAATGTGTAATAACATGCAAAGCCAAGCTTTCAGTATATAACACTAACAATCTCCCACTTATATTTAAAGCTTTCGCTTTTACAGTATAGTCCTATCAATCCGTTATTCTAAAAGACCTATGTCGATCCTATTGCCATGCTCATGACTCCCATTCCTTCCACGTGTTTTACGAAGACCTTCCCCGGCAAACTCTTCGTGAAAGGATCAACTAGGTTGTCCTCTGACGCAATCTTGGCAACATCAATGTCTCCTCTACCAACGATATCCCGAATCAGATGGTATTTGCGCTCTATGTGTTTGCTTGCCCTATGGGCTCCAGGTTCTTTTGAGTTCGCTACAGCTCCACTGTTATCACAGTACACGGTGATACACGTGGCAAACTCGGTATAACCTCTAAGTCCACTAAGAAGTTCCTACGCCAAACTGCCTCTTTCGCTGCCTCTGAGGCTGCTATGTACTCGACTTCCATGGTGGATTCTGCCACGCATTTCTACTTGAATGATTTTAAACGACTCCTCAAACCTAGTTATTTGAAATCCACTGTTTATCCTACAGTTTGACGACCACACCGTCCGCGATCATTTAGATTCATCAACAAGGCGAGTCAACACTAATTTTACAAATCCATTCGATGAGTTTGAAAGTAGCAAATTTATATTTCAAAAAATTCGAAGTCAGGAGATTTTCAAATCCTTCAATACAAATATAGCCTTAAATAATTTTAACTACAAGAGGGAAAACTATTGGACTACGTTGAATTGAGTTATCTGAAATCTCTTGCTTTCGGATTTTTTTAAATATAATTTTCTACTTTCAAAATCCTTGAGGCTCCGGTTGTTTTGAGGGATTTGAAATCCCTTGATTTCTAAATTTTTGAAATATAAATTTTTTTACTTACACACTCCTTGAGTGGATGTGTTGAAAATATTATAAATCAATTGTCTAGCTCGCACCAATGATGTTAAATCGGAGCAGTGATGAACCTAAATGATGGCGGACGGCATGGTCGTCAATGGTGATAAAAAGTGAATTTTAAATGAGTAAGTTTGAGGAGTCATTTAAGGTCCTTTAAATAATGACTAAAAAATATCTAGCATGAATTTGAAATCCTCCAACTTCCATTATCATGCAAACATGCATGAGGATTTGAACTTTTAATTTGAAATCTATGTATTTCAAATCTCTAAGTAAATCCTTCAATCAAAATTTAGCCTGAATGAACTTGTGGAAATGATTGCAAATTCATTGTCTAACCCGCACCGATGGTAATGACTCGCGTTAGTGATGACTCCAAATGAAGAGTCATACTCACTGACCGTGTAGTTGTCAACAGTGTGATAAATAGTGGATTTCAATGGACTAGTTTTGAAGAGTCATTTGAAATAATTTAAAATAATGACTAAAATCTTGGAATCCTTCGGATTTGAACTAGTAAATCTGAAAATTATAGATTTCAAATTTTTCAATCTAAACGTAGTCTTAATGAATACTTGTGTTAGAAAATATTCTGATGAATGATAAAAATATTAAGCTATTAAATGGTTATAAATAATCTTATTTTTTTGTTTATTTTAATAAATAAAAAGAATATATATTTTAAAAATTATTTATCTAATTTTACCATTGACTGAGTGTGGTCAACAAGTACCATATAGACCTATGGTCAAGCAACTCTTATAATATTCCAAAGAATTACTAAATTCGGGGCCTAATAAACGTTATATTACACAACATTATATAATATATAATTTTTTTAATGTATAAAAGAGTTTCTCGAAGTATCAATTTATTGATGGTGATTCGTAATTAAATTTGTCATTTTCTGGTAATTTTTACGTCAATTTTCTGTCCATAATTGGAGTAGTTTATGTACGTATATGTGGACTTTAATCAATGTTTAGTAGTTTTTTCTTAAATAATAAAATATTAATTATTTAAATTATAAATATATATTAAAATTTAAGATTCTTTAATATTTTATTGTTTCCTTATGTATTATATGAGGAATTATACATGATTCTTAATTTGAAATTTATATTATATATATCAATTATTATATCAATCTTTACATGAGTAGTGAGTATTGTGTGTTAATTTATATTTTTATATAAAAATAGTAATGTAATTCAGGAAGTGAGATTCATTTTCGCATATTTTTTATATAATAATCAAAATTGGCACAAACTATTTTGTGATTTTTTTTATTTTTTTTTGCCATCCATGCGCAAATCACCTTCTTCCCCAAATATCAGTAGGGCGAGCACACACAGAATGAGACTATGAGATGCATAGAAAATCAACAAAGCCAATCACTAATAGACGAGTAACAAGAATAACATAGAATACCGAATTATCTAAAACGACAACCGTTTAGTTAAATAAAAGCAGAAATGTTGAAGCTGCTAAAATACCAGTCGCTATCAGAAGCTTATTAAAAACCTAACACCAAAAGAACCAAATCAGGCGCGCTCCCCTCTTATACGCTTAGCCAGCTGGACGTCCTTAGGCATAATAGTGACTCTCTTTGCGTGGATTGCGCAAAGGTTAGTGTCCTCAAACAGTCCCACAAGATACGCCTCTGCAGATTCCTGAAGAGCCAGCACAGCATGGCTCTGAAACCTCAGGTCTGTTTTGAAATCCTGTGCAATCTCACGAACCAAACGCTGGAAAGGCAGCTTCCGGATTAGCAGCTCCGTGCTCTTCTGGTACTTTCGGATTTCCCTGTTTTTTTTTAATTAGTCGATTAATAAATAATAAATTATTAGATAGAAAAATGGGAAAAAAGGGAATTGGGGGCTAGGGTTTATTTTACCGGAGGGCGACTGTCCCAGGGCGGTAGCGGTGGGGCTTCTTCACGCCGCCGGTGGTTGGGGCGGACTTCATAGCAACCTATTAACAACATAAAGAAAAAGGGATAAGAATAATTACGAACAGTCTAAACAGATTTTTCATAAACGAAACATGAAGTGGGGAAATTAAATGGGAGAGAGAGNCTTCCTTGGGCCTTTAACACCTTGCGATTTGCGAGCGGTTTGCTTTGTGCGTGCCATTGTTACTCAAAAATCAAATTAAATCGAAAGCAAACTGAAAATTCAACGAGAATATGATTTAAATTTGCAGCAACATCAGAAAACCAAAAGAAAAAGGAGAACTCTATAAACTAAATCAAATGATTAAAAAAAAACAATAGAGAGAGAAAAAGAAAAGCATAGCGAGAGCGAGAATATTACCAGGTAGTAGAGAGAAGCAAGTTAGAGAGAGGGAATTAGAAGAAGAATGTTTTTGATCGAATGAGAGAGGTGAGAGCTAAGGGGGGTATTGAGTGGCCTTTTATAGGGAGATGGACGGGTTGGCGGTTTAATTTCGAGGGAAATAAGGAATGCTAAAAGTGTGGGGCCCTGCCGCATATTTGGCGACTTCCCATTGGCCAGTATTGTTGATGGCTTTGCTGTGATTGGTTGGTTACTTAAACACGCGGATCCACAGGGTATTTGTGTTTCTTTTGTTTCTTATTTCTTGAGTTTTTGTATTTGGAAATACTAAAAAAAAATGTAGATCTGGATAAATGGTTTTAAATATATTAAAATATATATTTTAATAAAAAGGAATAATGTGCATGGGCTTCAATATATCACATAATCACACAACTTGGTACTCGTTTTTGTTGTGCTATACTGCTATTACTATTATTTTTTAAATAAAGAATACTAGGCCCACTAGTGGAATACAAAAAAGTTTCTTGTATTCCGGCCCTTTTCTTTTCTATCAAGGACTCAACCTTAGTGGACCCAAGATAAAAGTATGACACAAGTAGCCCAAATAACTATTTCTTGAAACTCTCCATGACTGGGCCAAATAAATTGATCCATCACAACTAACAATATTATTTAGTTATAGATTTATTAGCATTTAAAAGTAAAAATGCCTTTATCCCCTCCCCTCC